CAAGCAGCCGGCATTTTTATTGAGAGGCAAAAGCTTAATAATATATGAATGTATGTATGTATATGCTCAGCTAAAGTTCCAATGTCAATAACAACAAAGTAGCCGTTTTGGGTGCATTATTAGAGTGTTGTACATTAGGGTGGTAACATTTTTTTTTTATTTAAAGCCCTCACTTCTTATTAAAAGGAAAAACAGAATACCCATATGGTTTTGTTAAAAAAAATATATATATATATTTAAAACTACCTCGAGCCAATAAAGTTCTCTACGAATTTTATATGGGAAAAACACTTTTTTCCAGAAATGGGGTAGAATTCCTTAAAAAAGTATCGATATTTTTCAATCGGAAAGCTCTGTTTCTCTTCAGGAGACATCCTATTATAATATCGAATTGAATATTTTACCATATTTTAATACTAACGATTTTTTATATGTCCTCTGATTGATTTTTTTTTTTAGGTTTTTGGGGACCTATAAAAAATAGTTAATATTAAAAAATGGTTAAATACATAATTTGGTATTATTATTGGAACCGGAGAGTACTATCGATATTTTATCTGCAATACTCCGCCTAAGATCAATATTGAGCAATAAGCCAATAACTGTAATCGTCTTAAACTTTCGATGTTGGATCCTGTTTATTTTGAAGGTCATAACCCATATACCTGATTCATTTAGTTAGGTAGCATTTTTACCAGTTTTATTAATGTTTAATATTTTTCTTTTTATTTACTTAAAATTTTTTTAAAGAGCTTTAATTTTTTATAACTAGCTTGCCAATAACCATTTGCCATGAAAATTTTTCTTTTAAAAATTTGTCAGTCTATCAGATTCGGCCAGCGAAAAGTTGACATTGAAAGCTCCTGCGAGAATCGCAGGTCGATGAGAACAGTCAACTTATCTTTATCATTAAATATACAAAAGTAAAATAGCCAAAACTGGTCAAAATGTCACCTAACTTAATTAGCTGGCTACAAAGATATATACACACTGTATGTATACCGGCAAATAAATATTTAAATCCGGTAAATAAGTATATATTTAAACTTGGAAAAGATTTCTTTTTAAATAGGTACTCGTAATAAACAATATGCTATCTCATGTTTGTTTGATTTGCACCTTTTTGTTTCTTAGAATATACTCACATACATACATAGGTACATATATGTATACTTCTCTAGCGCGATGTAGCGAACAGGTGGCGCATTTCGCAAACCGCAACGTTGGTTTTGCCGATTTTTACAGTTCTCGATTTTCGTAAACAAAGCCTCAAAAATTTTAAATGCACTGAAATTCGCTATACTTTCACTAAAATCACACTGTTTTCACATTTCGTTTATTAGTTTTTATTACAAATCATATATTTTCACAATTTTAAACAATTAAAAGACGTTTCCTATCGAAAAATGGAATATTAAGATAATTGACTAATCTCACATTCTCTTTTATCCTCCAATTCGGCTTTGCTACTTTTTACCCACAAATGTCATCGACGTCGGGAATGTGCAATCTTGTATTCTATCATTCTTGCTTCTTCAGTTTGCTTCACAAAGTCTTTAATTTTGCTCTCACCGATATGCTCAACGGCACTTCTTAGAAATAATCTGCAGAAACAATCATACAACCGCCACAACAAAAGTTCCAAAAAGTTAATTCGCCATCCAGTTTCTCTCCATCACTCGATTTGCACGGCCGGTTATTCTCTGACAGTGTTTTTTCCACTTTTTTTTAATGAAATCAAAACTTAAAGGATAATTGAAAAAGTTGTATGATTTATACTCCAAAATATATTCGCTCCAATTTGCCCGCCGGTTTCGAAGAACTATACACGAAATGGGTTCAATAATAAAAGTTCTACTTGTACTCCTCGTGGTCGTCCTGGCCGTCTTTGTACATCGGCTTCATTTATTGTCAAGTTCAGCGCCGCTGCCTGCATTAAGTGATACGGAGTATTAGGGTCCCGGCAGTGCTGCTAATTACAAGGAGAATACCGACATAAAAA